ATCGAGAATTTTTCATGCAGAATTGGCATTTAATGACCAAAATAATAAGTTGGCAGTTAACAAGTGGAGACGAATAGGAATGAGTTTAACTTTTTTAGTTTTACTAACTTCCGGGGCAATTAATGGATATAATTATTTTTATTGAATTTAATTAAGTATAGAGAATCTTGTCTCATCATATATTATATACAAAGTACTATACAACGTACTATATAGAGGAATTATACGAAGTAACGCGCAGGGGTGTAATTTCGAATTTTGGGCTAAATTAAGCATAATTCTGGCTATTATTCGAAATAACATGCATGCCCGTTATTTCGTGTACGTACATACATAAAACTATTGCGTAGGACTTGGCATTTTTATTATCGATATGTATATCGATATCCTTATGTTTATCCTTATGTTTATCCTTATGTTTATCCTTATGTTTATCCTTATGTTTATCCTTATGTTTGGGATTTTATGATCCTTACGTTTGGGATTTTTATTATTGTTATGTTTGGGAGTTTTATTATTGTTATTTATGTTTGGGACTTGTGATAATAAAGATTTATAGTTTTATTAACAAGTATATATATAAATAATAACCAATTAAATGATCGTTAACAACTTAAATGTTATTACGTATTACCTCTCTTATACAAATATTATGTAGTATAAATTAACCGGGTATTTGTTGGTTCCGTTAAGTATGATGATAGGCAAATGAGTGAAAAAGTACGTACGTACGTACGTACGTATGTACGTACTTAAGGCCAATTTGTAAATAACATAAAGTAGTTCAAAGTAACACGAATTTATGTTAGTTATATAAGCACTTTCATTTTGTTTATTACAGGGACGTGTTAGTTTTAAATGCTAATGCCCAATCCGTAAACTATATACGAATACGTAAAAAAAAAAAAGGGACTACATAACGAAAATCACTCGCAACAGTTCATTAGACATGCATGGAAATTTATTATATATATACCCTTGGAGAAGTATCTACGTACGTACAGTACGTATGACTTAACATGCATAACGATAACGATAACGATAACGTTTTTTTAAGATGATCAGGAATACTCGTTCGTTAACTTTAAATTTGAGTTATTCTAATTTCAGTAAATTAATAATTATAATTTTAGATAAGCTGGTTTCACACAAAATTAATTTTTTTTTTTTTTATTTTTATGTCGTATATATTTTTTTAGGACGATTTTAACGCTCACTAGAGGTGAAATTCACAGGATGTGTTATTTCTCAAAAATGGCTTTGGTAATCATATCTGGTGTACTAAAAAAAACCTTAATTTTTAGTTTAATTAAGCCTTAAATCCTAACTCTAAAATGATAACTTAAAATTTGAGGCAAAGTTTTCTATGGATCATAATTAAATATATATCGTGGTGAATTTCACCTCCGTGAATGCTAAATGAAATGCTAAATCAATTTTAAATACATTCTAAATAAATTTTAAATAAATGCTAAATAAATTTTAAATAAATTTTAAATAAATTCTAAATAAATTCTAAATAAATCTAGATAAATGCTAAATAAAAAAATTTTTTTTTTCTAATATTAACATTAATGATGTGCTTTGGCTTCTTTTCATAATTCTAGACAATTAGCGTTATTATACTACCAACCATAGTGCATAAAAATAATTTTTATTGCCAATATTTAATAAAGCGAATACTAATTAAGAAAAAAGGCATAACGATCGTATGCCACCGCTTACAGCCCTAAATAATACCCCGTGATTAAGACCCGGGGGTACAACTACATTGATTTATATAGTACCCGGTTCTTTCATACAGTACTACTCAATTTCAAAAATGGAGTTCTTGAATACTGTATACAGATAAATTATTTTCTTCTTATATAGTATAATATAAATAGATGAAACTATGCGACTTAGATTGTTAGAATGGCGAAAATATAAATATTTTAGGGCGTAAAATTTACTGCGGCTTGCAAAATTTTGTGATCATCAAAAAAAGGATCACTTGATTGTTAAATTCTATACCGATAAAAAGTACTCCGATATCGATATTTGGAAGTGAAATTTGAAAGATTGTTTACAATTATTTATTCAAGATTCTCTTATTATCGTTGTATGAGCACTATTAACGTTAAGAGAAAACCATACATATAATGAATTACGTAGTCATTTTGGTATTACAAGCCTCTTTAGTTATTTTTAGTTATTATTACGTATTATTATTACGTATTATTATTACGTATTATTATTCTTATTGATATTATTATTGATATTATTACGTATTATCGTTATTATTATTATTGATATTATTACTGTAAAAAAAAAAAATTAGGCCCGGCTAAACAATTAAAAATCTCGTCGCGAAAAAGTCATTGATTTAATGCCTAAAATGCATAGATAATATGTTGTATATGATGAAAATCTAACTAACGCTAATTCTATAATTGATTCAATTCTGTAATTAGCAATTGCCTGAGTAATTAGTATTTATAAAGTTTAGAGTACTTTTTGAGAATGTAACGTTTCACTCATTTCACTAGGTAGCAAAGAAATCCTTAAACTAATACTTTATTAAAAAAGGCGATTTAAGATGATCTTAAAGAATTGTTTAATTGAATATGGTAAAATGAAATGTTGTTTAGGTTAAAATAAATACCGTATGAGTCTATCATGTAGATAATGAATGATCTGTAGATTTGCGCAAATTTTATTAGTCTCTATTAGGTATTAGGTATATACGGCATGTGTACACACACACACATATATTTGGTTGGACAGTAGTTACCTAGATCGACATAAGTCGGCATAAATCAGCCAATCGGATGAATTTCAATGATCTCAAGCATTTGTATCTCAAGCATTTGTATCTCAAGCATTTGTATCTCAGGCATTTAACTCAAGCATTTATCTCAAGCGGGCATAATTAACATACATACTCCGAACATCCCGAAAAATTTTTTGTTGGCAGCACGTATCATTATCGATTATGGTGATCATGGTTCACATCACATAACATTAACACTAATATTATTATGTAGAACGTTTCGAAAATTTTTATTGGGTTTTGATCACGTTACTTGAAAATTTTATCTATCTAAAGAAAATTTATATTTAATCCGAAATTTATAATCTTGTCAAACTTTAATAAAAATAAATTACTAACACAAATTTAAGAGAATATATAATTAATTTCCCCTTTTTACGGTTAAACTTAAATTAGAAAGGGTCATTCTTAAAGTGTTTGGTAAGTAAATGTTTGGTATGTAAATTGATTAAATTGATTAAATTGATTAAAGCTGGTTTTAACATACAGTACGAAAGCATATCGATATTTGTATTTGGTTCCAAACTTTAGTCATTATTTGGTCAACAGTGTTAGTTCTACAAAATTCTCATACGTGCGTGCGTACGCACGTACGTAGTATTACGTATCTGGTATGTAAGTACGTACGTACAGTACGTACTCACGCACAGTACTATCAGTTATAGCAGAATATAGCAGATATGTGCAACCTCAATAATTCTTTTAATTCTTTTCGATAAGAGTAAAGTGGTGTATCATGATACAAGATGCAGTCAAATGAATTGTTAAATATGGATTATTCATAGTTCACATGATTTATACATTCATCTATACGTTCGTCCAACTATGTGATACATAATCGACATTAATTTAATCTTTACAATTTTAGACATGTGAAACAATGCGATAATTAAGCGTCACAGGATTTGATTTTTCCATAGCATGAAAAAGAATTTTTTATGTATTCACAAACTCTAAATAAGTTTAGTTAACGGATATTCTATTTTCTAAGTACACATGTATAATAATAAATAATGCATTTAATTTATATTTATGGAATAATTATCAATACTTTTTTGAATCTAGATCCGTATTCTGTGCCGGCGATTTCCGAATAATTTATATGCACGTGTTCCCACCAATTCATTGTTCAATTGCTAATGCAGTAATGTACCGAGTGATTTATCCAATTGTCGAACCTTAAAATTTTTTTTCGAAACGAAAAATTAGTTAATGGGATCTTCCTAATGCTGTGCAAATCTCTTTCTATTTCCGTAATTAGCTTCCTATTTCTGTAATTAACCTGAAGCCACAAACGCACTACTCGCATTTACGCACTTCTCGCATTTAATTTTCGATTTTTTTGTCTTTACAGTTTATCTGCGTCTCTGCGTTCTCTCTCGAAAAAAAAATGTGTTGTATAACGTAATGTTTTAATTGAATTTAATTGATTATTCGTAAACGTTAATATTATATATAAATCTTTTTTTAATATATATAAAGAAATCTCGTCCTCTGTTAAAATTTTATTCATTCGTTTTTTCGATTCTAATTCGAGAACCTGTAATCTCAATCTTACTAATTCGAATTTGGTTATTCGTCACTTTGTTTTTACGCATCGAGTTTCGTATGATAAGTTTGGTCATACCCTAAACGCGGGAATTGTACAACCCAAGAAAATAATTTTCCCCAAAATCGCAAGTAGACACAAGTTTGTATCTCGCTAATATTTACTTTAATTTTTTTTTCTCTCTTTTTTTTTTTTTTTATTTCATACCTCCTTTTTCCGTTTATTCTTGTTGATTTGGATGTAAAAACCTTGCGTTTTTCGACGCCAAGCTCACTATTCCCTGTTCTTTTCTTTGGTTTTATCCGTTTTCCCTTCAGTGTTCCTCCGTGATAGGAAAAAGAAACAGAACGGAGCCACGTACCAACCCACATCGTCAAAAATAAACCGCTTCGGTTTAAAACCTTCTGGGACCGCGATGCGGGAATATAAATTGGTGGTTTTAGGATCTGGTGGTGTTGGCAAGTCGGCATTGGTTAGCATTTTTATTCATTATTTTTGAGTTTATATTTTTGAAATTCAAAAGTTTTATCCTTTTTATAAACCTTTTTAACCTTTTTCATAAAAATTTTATCCATTTATAAAATTTTATAAAATTTTATAAAATTATATCTTTTTTAGACTGTTCAATTTGTACAATCCATGTTCATTGAACGTTATGATCCAACAATTGAAGATTCATATAAAAAGCAGATAGAAGTTGATAACCAAATCTGCGTATTGGAAATATTAGACACGGCAGGGACTGAACAATTCGCTGCCATGAGAGATTTGTACATGAAAAACGGCCAAGGTTTTATCCTTATGTTCTCGATCACTGAACAATCAACAATAAATGAGTTAGCGGAGTTAAGGGACCAAATTATAAAAGTAAAAGGTTCAGATACGGTAATTTTATTTAATAATTTATTTTGATCAACTTAAAAATGTGAATGAATGTGAATGTGCATATCATCCCAATATTTAATTGAATTTAATTGAATTTAATCGAATTTAATTGAATTTAATTGATTAATAATGAATAATAGGTTCCAATGGTATTGGTTGGTAACAAATGCGATCTTGAAAAAGATAGAATGGTTACCAAAAAACAAGGTCTTGCACTTTCCCAAACATGGGGTCATACTGCCTTTTACGAGACTTCTGCTAGACATCGGATTCATGTAGATGAAGTCTTTTATGATTTAGTTCGCCAGATAAACCGGCAATCTCCCACACGACGATATAGAAAAAAAAAGAGATGCTCGATACAATAAAAACATGTTCATCTTCATTAATTCATTAGTTATTTTCATTAGTCAATGCTATTAAAAACTTGAGTGTTTCATTCACTCTTGACCTGGCAATGAACTATTTTATCCTTGTTTCTGGACATTTTTCTTTTTTTCTTTTAATTCGAAAATCGACCCTTACTCCTTTTCTAATTCCCTTTACACTCCTTAATTCGATTTTCTTTCAATTTTAGTATATATATTTTTTTCCTTTTTTTTCCTTTTTTTTATTGTTTTTGATAACTCAACTCATATAGCATTCCGAAAATTTGCATTTTAATCAATTCACAATTTTTCATTATAATTCATTCTAATTCAGTATAACGATAATTCAGTATAACGATAACTCAGTATAACGATAACTCAGTATAACTCATTCTAATTCAGTATACGATAACTCAGTATAACTCAATATAACTCAATATAACTCAGTATCATTCAGTATCATTCAGTATAATTCAGGTAAGCAACTCATATATAAAAAAAAAAAGTGCAACAAATTAATTGATCTAGTAAATATTCTTTAGTGCTGTCTTAGCGACGCGTGATAGTTTATTCATTTGTAATATATTTAGCGCATTTACATACTTTGATAGATAAAGATAGGGGGTTTATTCGAGATTAAACTATATCATATATAGGAAAAAGACATTTGTAATCAATAGCGTTAGGATAAACACTAAAGCATACATGTAATTAGTATTCTTTTTGTAACATAATATAAATTTAATATTCATTTCGAGTGTTCGTGTTTTTTTTTTTTTTTTTTAAGTAAAACAATTGAATCACGTGAGTTGTTCCTGTACGACTTGGTGCTGTCACAGATATTTGTAATTACCGTTTTTTTTTTCATTAAACTATTATACGTACTTCTGTACTTTCACTTGTGGCTTTTTCAAATCCGAAAAAGCAAGACTATATATATAAAAAAAACCACTAAAAAGTAGTGACATAATCACTAATAAAATAACACTCACTTTACTTACCATTACATTAAACCGTAACAGAGTAAGCCGACCGAAAATGCAACAACGCTCTAAACATAACGCTCATACCCCAACTCGCACTCCATCTGACAATGTCAGTCAACGCGTCAATTCTAATAACCCCAGTAATAATACTAACTCCGTCACAAACGCTAATAGTAATGGTTCTGTTGTAGATAACAGAGATTCTCAGCAGCAAAAAGGTCTGGAATGGATGCTTGGTCTTTCTATCCGAGTGAAAACTTCGACTGATGACGAGTATGAGGGTCAGATTTATGCTTATGATCCAAAGTTAAATTGTGTTGTACTTCATATCCTTTTCTTATCTATATATCTATTTATCTATTACATAAATATATATTTATATATATTTCTTTCTTAACGTTCTTCATTCTTGATTGATCATCAAAATTGATTTAATGTCCTTAATTCAATAATTTCGATAATTTCGGTAATTTCGATAATTTCGATAATTTCGATTATATTCTTTTTAAACAATGTCCGAGTGCAATACCTCCAGGTGCCAATTCTAGTGGATCTCAAAAATACGATTTTCGAATTTTAAAAATTAACTTTCTTAAAGATGTGATCCAACTTCCTAATCGTAAATCTTCTGCTGATGTCAATGCGAACATTAATTCTTCTACTACAAATTCTTCCAACAACAACAATACACAACAAACAAATGGTCAAACTAGTAATAATAGTAGTAATAATAGTAGTAGTAGTACGAGTACGAGTACGACCAATAATGTTTTTGCTACTATCGTTCCTTCGGTGGGTTATGTACAAATGGATAGACTTCAGGCCAAGGAATTACAATCGGTTAAGGATACACACGTTGCGTTGGCAAAAATTGGTGTGGGTGTGACACAAGAGGCTCAGGACATTTTTGATGCAATGAGCAAGACGTAAGTATTATCTTATCTTATTATTAAGTATTATATTATCTTATTAAGTATCATATGAAGTATCATATTAAGTATCATATTAAGTATTATATTAAGTATTATGTTAATATATATTTATACGTATATAGATTTATACGTATATATATATATATTTATACGTATATAGATTTATACGTATATATATATATATTTATATATGTATATATATATATATATGTATATATTTATATGTAAATATATATATGTATATATATATATATTTATATGTATATATATATGTAAATATATCTATTTACATATATAAATCTCAAAACATTATTTGATAACATTATTTGATAACATTATTTGATAACATTTTTTGATAACATTTTTTGATAACATTGTTTATAACATTTTATTTGCTATTCAAAGATTACCATGTAGGTGGCATAAAGAATCAATTATAGTTCTAGATGAGGTGATTATCAATCCACCATATGATATAGAGAATTGTAAAGCAAATCTAGGTTCGACGGAATTATTGGCAAGAGTTCGAAAAGTGGTATGAATAATTGACTCTTTTTTGATTGATCATTTTATTTGGTTATTTTATTTGGTTATTGTATTTAATATCAGTTTATTTTTTATTTTATTGATTTTAGCTAGAGGGTGAGAAAAGAAGATTGGCAAGTGGGCGTAGAGATGCAAACGGTTGGCTTGGTTCAACTAACGGCTTATTGTAGCCAATTTAAATCGTTTTCATTGGCTCTATCACTATAAGATAGATTTGTGCCATTTATGAACCGAGAAATTCCAAGCTGAGCCGATCCGTTGTCCTAATTTAAAAAAAAATCAAAAAAAAAATCAAAAAAAAAACATTATCGTTATATTATAGTATCAGGTGATTATTGTTGCCCAATTACGTATAAATGTCACATTGATTCTATCTTGTGTAATAGGAAATGTGGTCTTTAAAAATATCTGGAGAAAGTTTGAATTTCTTGCCAATAAAATGGTTTCTTTGTCAATGGATAAAAAAAAATTATATATTTATATATATATATTTATTGTTTTTCATCGGTCTGACAATTCTTGCTATCTCTTTTTTATGATTGCTAACTTTTTATATTGCCATCTCTTTTTTATGATGGCCAACTTTTTATATCGCCAACTCTTTATGATTGCATTTCATTCTTTCTGCTTTTATTTTATTCATTCTTTGTTCACCCTCTTTTTTCAAAGTGATTGTATATGTAATTTAATAATTACAGCATTGTGTCTTTATCAATAGTAATATCAATAAGTGGTATCATACGGGCATACATTAGATAAATGCTAGTGAATAACGTGAATAACATCCAAGATTATATAATCCAAGTAATTGGTTTATTTCGATTAATCTGAAGTAACAAAATTTTGAAGTAGCAAAATTTTAAAAGTACAATAAAAAAAACGTTAAATTGATTAAATTGATATAAAGTCAAATATGCTTATGAATGATATTTTACGATCAAATACTGTATCATGTTCTCATATTCTCATAAATAAATAGCGCAACGTAATACATACTATCATGTGAATTAACGTTTTAATTTTGTCTTTGAATTATGCATTATGATTACACAATGAGTTAGAATCCCCCCCTTGTAGATTGTGTGTATAATCAAGTGATCATGGTAAAAAAAAAAATATAATCAGAATTATCAATTATTGTTCATCACATCACTGATTTACTACGTGTAATACCCGATCCTGTAATATAAAAAAAAAAAACTATCACTATATACTGATTAAAAACTACCGATTAAAAATTACCGATTCGAATAAACTGGAACGAAAAAAATAATGCAACATATTAAAACGAATACTGCGTTAGTAGCTATTGCACGACAAACCGCTCGTAATCTACTAGGTGCAAAAAGTAGTACTACTGTATTAGGACATCATGCAACTAGTGGTTTTTCGAATAGAGGTGCTAAAACCTCAACTAATGCAACTACCTCAACTAATATGAGTCGAAGACCTTACAGTTCACTTTCTCAAACAAATCAGTCCGACCTTTTTAATAGTGGAATAAGTGGTAGTAGTAGTTCTGAGTCTGGTATACAACAAAGACCACTAGATCTTAGACAAGAACAACTTTATATTAGAGAATATAATGATCTACTAATGCTATTGAAACAAAGAGGTCTTCCACGAGAAGTTGAACGTCGTTTCGAAGAAATGAAAAGATCTGGTGTACAACCAACTACATTCACTTACAATTTAATCCTCGATACGGTAGCTGGATTTCGAAATGAAAATAATAATTTGGATAAATTAATTCAATATTATGATGAAATGATTCGAGATAATGTAAAACCTAATCTATCAACTTATAACATAATGATCAAAACTCTATGTAAAAGAGATCTTGAAATTCAAACTAAATTATATCGTTTAAAAAAAAGAGCAAATATGGGTGTTAATTTGAAAGCAATTGAATCTCTTGAAAAAGAAAATTGTATCGATTTGGCTTTTCAACTTTTTAAAAAAAGTATAGATATTCATGGTTATTATTATGAAGCTGATTTATGTGATGCTTTATTACGTTCTCTTGCTCCTTATGGTAGAATAGAAGAAGGTTTAACGGTATTTGAATATATGGAAACCCGTGAAATAGTATCTCCTTATACTTTTGGTTATTTAATATCAATGTATAGTCATGTTGGTGATATAGAAAGTTCTATAGAATGTTTTAAAGAATATAAAAAACTTGCTCCAAATTTGACTGGAAAACATGAACCTTTGGCCGTATATAATCAAATGATTTCCGCTTATGTTCGTTGTAATAATGTAAAAGGTGCTATTGAAATTTTAGAAAAAGAGATTCCTGAGATTGGTCTTGTACCTGATGAATGGAGTTATTTTTACCTTATCAGAGATTTATGTGATAGTAATAAGACTGAAATAGCTCAAGAATGGTTTGACAAGATGAAAAATGTTGATTCAATACCAAATCCATTTAATTTGATATACGATACTATGTTGATGCAATATTCTTTAATTGGTGATTATTCAAATGCTTCAAAAATTTATCAAGAAATGAAAGACATAAATTTATGTCCTCGATATTCGGAAATGTCTTTATATTTACATTTAACTCTCAAACATGATCCTGATAGAGTTTTAAATCTCTTGGATGATATGTATAAAGGTTATTTAGTTACGGATCTCAATTTAACAAAAAGTATTATGAATCATTTCGTTCAAGCTCAAAAACCAGAAAAAGCTCTTATCGCTCTTATCAAGATTAAAGCTCTTACTGATCATCATACAAACAGTTCATCGAATAGGTCGAATAGTCCAACAATGTCTTTGGATGATTATATCATAACATTGTTAAATGATCCGAATCTTTCACTTAAAGGCGCTATTGATGGAAAATTTCAACTTTTAGATTATGGATATTCTAAAATATTAAATTTCAATAAGACCATATTCATGAAATATGACAAGATTAAAAACAATGGTGATATAGTACCAAGTTTGAAAGAACTTGATGGTCAACATATATTTGGGCTCTTTGATAATGCAACTTCTTTATATAATTTACATATCGCAAAGGATGAATTTAACGCAAGAGTATTTGAACTTGTAGAAGATTTAAAGTTGTGTGGAATTACATTACCATACAGAACCTTTACGAAAGTTCATCATCATTATATGGAAGCAGGGGATCTCGAAGGTGCTGAAAAATGGAAAGAAATAGCATCAGCAGTTTTAACCACTAAAGATTCTATTATCAAAGAATCTTCACAAAAATCACTTCGTCAACCTACTATCGAAGAAATTAATCGATCTTCAGAAATATCACAATTATGTAAAACTCATGAAATTAATCCAGTTCTTTTGTTAAGTGAATTTCATAAAATGCTTAAAGAAGATTTAATACCTACACCTGAATTAGTTAGTCAAGCAATTAGAAATTTAGGAAAAAGTAAGAATGTAAAAGAAGCTGAAGAATTATATCAACTTTCACTAGAATTCTTTAAAAAGTTGGACCCATCAGTATGTACAAACGGATTAAATTGGGCACGTAATAGTATGCTTATAGCATATGCTAGTAATGGTCAATTGGATAAGGCGTATCAAATTTACAATGAAATTTTTGCACTTGGGTATCAACCAGATGCTAATGCATATGCTGATCTTTTGGTTGCCGAAAGTAATAGAGATCCTGATGAAGCTGCAACAGCTATAAAATTATACGATGAAATAAAACGTTACAATATAAAACCAACGCTTTATTTCTATAATGTATTAATTAGTAAACTTGGAAAGGCTCGAAAGTATGATGCGGTTTGGGAAGCATTCAAAGATATGAAAAGACGTAGAATTCAACCCAATTCTATTACTTATGGCGCGTTAATCACAGCTTGTACTCGTGTGAAATCGGAGGACAAAGCTTTAATGGTATTAAGAGAAATGGAACAATCAAAATCGTTTCAACCACGAATTGGACCTTATAATACATTAATGCAATTTTATACATGGGATCTTCATGATAGAGAAAAAGCTCTTAAATATTTTGGGGAAATTAATCGACACAATTTAAGACCTTCTGATCATACATACAAGTTATTGATTGATGCATATTCGACTATTGAACCTTATGATATGAAGTCTGCTTTAAATGTGTTTGAACAAATGAAACGAGATGGTGTTACACCACAACCAACACATTATGCATCCCTTATTTATGCTTATGGATGTTGTCATCGAGATGTACAGAATGCACTTCAAACATTTAATACCATGCAAAGTGCATTCAATATTCGACCGGATCAAAGTGCGTATCAAGCATTATTTGATGCTCTAATTGCCAATGATCGTATCGTAGAAGCTGAAGAGTATTACGATGTTATGTTAATGCAAGGTGATGTCAAATCTACTGCATATATTGAGAATTTGTTTATTCGAGGATATGGGCAATTAGGGCAATGGGAACGTGCTGAAACAGTGTTTAATAATATGAAAGATTCTGATGATTTAAATAATGAAAGTGTACCAAGGGAACCAAGTACGTACGAAGAGATGGTAAAAGCATATGTTATCAATGGACAAATTGAAAAAGCTAAAGAAGTTGCAAATATACTGGAACATAAAAATTTTCCGGAAATTGTTAAAAATAATATAGCAAATTTATTACATTAAAAAAAAAAATAATAATACTGTTATATGCTTTCAAGAATTTTATTATGGACAATTTTATCACTTTTAAAACATGTAATACTTTAGCATCAATTGCAATAATGTCTATTGTAGATATCGATATTTATATATATACACTATATATACACGTAGATAAATTTTTTTGTAGAAAAATACTAAAAGCTCGATCACTTTTTGGAAATGTAACGTTTCATTAATAAATAAATCATTAACCACCAAAATATTTTGTCTATATAATCTGCTTTTTTTAATTAATGATATAAGTATAGCTTATACATATTGACAAGGTTTTTCAAATCATCCAAAAATTTGTTGGTCAATGATCCGGCCAGACTGGTCAATTAATTATTATACGTACAAGATTTCGTATTAACTGTAGGATAATATAGAGAAAATGTGTTACAAGAATTACATGATATCGAGACTTAACAAATTTAGAATCTACTTTCACATGAATTCGATTTAGAATATGTCATAACAGTAAGTGTAGGTGGGATTTAGAATTTCTTAATTAATTTATGACCTTAAAAAAATTTTGCTAAAAGAAATTTCGCTGTTAAATTATGTTAGGTAGTGCTATTAAGTTAGAGTAAAAAAAGCTTTTCTAATAACAAAATTTCGCAAGAAAAACTTTTTGTTAGTGCGCAAAAGGCGGTTTTATAAGGCTATGACCGGTTTTTTGGGTTTGTTTTGATTTTTCGCGTTTCTTTTACGCCTTGAAATCTGATTGGCCTGCGAAATTTTTTAGAGTGACGCTAGTGTCGTTTAGAATTTATTTATGTAAACCCAAAGCTAGGTGCGCTCACGTAATTTAGATTAAATTCTAAAAATGGCCCGTGATCGCACCCTTTAACGATTCCCTAAAATAAGTTTTTACAAGTTGTCATACGTACCATTTTTGCAATAGTCAAATTCACTTATTACGGTTTGCAAAATTTTGTAAGTTTTGCTTAGGCGATTTCTAAGTGACTTCGGATTTCTTTTTTTTTTTTTTTTAAGGCGGAACTTTATTATTATTGTATATTTCCAATTCTTACATGTTACTGTATCGGTATTTTTACAATTTAGGCTATGATTTAGAACTAATTTATTCTCAGATGCAAACCACCAAATATGGGGTCTTTGCAGTAGAAAGGGCGGATACTGCCAAAAAATGAAAATCGAGTTTTTGCTATATTTGGATAAATCTTGACACGGGCTACATTTTTTTTTTTTTTTAATGTTAAGGTGACCACTTCGGGGTTTGGCACATTTTATTAAACTTTGGTTCAAATGCCGGGCAGCCACTTGGACCACTCCCGACTTTGTTACATTAATGAGGGTACAGTTGGCTACATGTACAACTTTAGTCATTGCCTATTTAAGGGCTCTGCTATACATATTACTATCTATAGTTACCTCTATTTAAATCCTCTAATCAACTTAGCATTGTCAGATATTCTCTTCAAAGAGGAATTGTTGTAAAGCTTCTTAGAACTTTAAAGTGAACATACACTTCTACAGTATATAGGAGAGTCTTTTATCCTCATGGTAAACCTACTAGAGTGGTTTATGTCCTACATATATATTACCTAAATTTTTAGTAATTTATACTTAGGTTATAGCAGACTCCAAAGAATTCTGATATAATTCAAATGTTACTAAAAAAGAAAATTTTGTATAGAAATTCATCAAATGTTGTATTTTTATATAGTAAATTTTTTAATTTTTGATTCATTTTATATGCCTATTTGGTTAATATTATACAAACTCAGATCTGAGTTGTATTAGAGTTTTTCAAAATTCTGTCGCAGCCAAGTACTTGTGGTATTTTATCTTCGCTATCATTATTTGTTCCTTGCTTTTACAAAGATTATCCAATCTTCAGCACCCACTTTATAGACTATCAATAGTATTTCGATGCCAACCATCAGTGTCTTAAACTTCTAATCCAAATGGTCTGGGAGGGAGCAGTGGGTATCTTTTAATATTTCAAATGAATCTTTTTTCCTCTGATCATCCAACAGCCTGGTTGGTATAGTGTTTTGTCAAATATTTGGTTCTCATTTAGTTTACTTTTAGTGTCCAGTTTCTCAGATAATAATTTTATATATAATATCATCAAAGATCTATATTACCTCTCTACTTGAGACTTCTCAAGCAGGCTTCTATATCACCTAATCCTTTAGATTAATTTGGCTGTTTTACTTAGATTTGTATAACTTATATATTATACTATTGTTCTATAATCTTTCAGTACAAGCTAGTATAACTAAGATTATAGGTGTAATATATTATATAGTCTGCTGTAACACATTTCATAAATTCGAATTTCATCACCAGTGGAATTTAAACTCTTGTTTTGCCACTTGGATGTGATAACTTACCAACTTCACTAAATCACCACATTCTTGGTTATATTTTTTAATTATAAATAGAAATAGATTTTTATAATAAAAAATTAAGATATTTAATGGATCAACTCTCTCTAATGATCACTTGTACTAACTAGTTTCCGAAAGCAAATTGAAGACTCAAGACTAGAAGTGAACAAATAACTTGAAGTTTTCTTAATACGAACTGTTGTCGACAAAGTTTCAAACATGATATACTGAGGAGCAGGTGTTTTGGATGGTTTGCAAAGAGGTTAAGCCTTTTTTTTTTTTTCTTTCCAGGTAGACTCCTTTTTATATTTGGTATCCAAACCAGAGAAGTCTCTGGAAACAGCAAGTAGAAAGAAGACTCAAGTTATTTTAGAAACTGAAGATTATGAAGAACTCTTGAAATAACACTCCTTGGTTGAAAAACTCACAAAACTATACTTTTTTCATGCCATTTTCTTTTTTTTATAATTTTCGACAAAAAGTGAGGGATTTGACTACTCTCCTTTAAAAGATCAGCATTGTTTACATTTCTATTTTTAAGTTACAATATAATGAATAAGAAATACAACAATTATGTATAAGAAGAAAGTTTTGTTTAGGTTAAATTGAAGTATATAGAAAGTCCTGTGACAGATTGGCTTTGGCTATTCAGAAATAAGTGCTTTATGTAATGAATCTGAAGAAGTAGCTTCCAAAGATGCTGGGTGATCATAGAAAGGACTCTCTGTTTAATCTCGTATAGCATAAAAGACAAGGCTTGAAGTGAAGACAGTAAGAGGATTTTAGAAAAAAAGCAGCCTGTTAGAAATGAAACTGATGATCACATATCGAGGCTTTAAAATCAATATTCTAGGATTCAAGATAGATTTCATGAGAATTGTAAACTGAAGCGATATAATAGAGATATAAGCAATATTCTGAAGTCATATGCATATAATTTTTAGCCTTTAGCATAGGTTAAAGTGCATCTTAGTTAATAGTTTCTTTTTGTCAGATAGCTCTATATATAGATTTCTATGACCATGTAGATATTTTTTTACCTGGTTAGCAGGTTTTTATATCTGTAGACAAGTTCTCTTAGATTTTAGAATAGTCTTTTATCTTTTTTATAATTTGATCATTTTCTTTGTATATTTGTTTATATCTTACACTGTTCTCATATTTCTCATACCTCATTTTTTCTTTTTTACTTCTCTATGAGAAAGTATCATCAGATTGGTGATACTCTATTGTAGGGCAGTGATTCTGACAAGGTTGGTGAAGACCATCTGTTGATAGCTGGAGCTTATATCCTCAAAAAGTTGAGGATCCCAGAAGAAAGAAAATTGTTCACTTAGGCAGGTTGCTCCTGGGTCATACTCTAGCATATAATTGCAGATAACTATAATTTTACTGTAATAATAAGATAGATTGAGATAATTTTTATTTGAACAGGTGTATAGTAATGTATAGTTAGATAGTAGGTTTAGTCAACTGAATTCTTACTGTATTTTACTGCCGATTTATAAAATAAAAGTAGGATCACTGAAGTAAAAAAAATCAAGATATTTAATAAACCTTTTGAAGAGTTTCATACGTTGTAAGATTATCTGATATAACTGATTAATAAAATCACAAAAATTTTAATTAATCCAGATCAGTCTAAATAAAACAAACTTGATTTTTTTAAAATCATATATATTAACATTATCAGCAAAAAATATAGACTGATATATATTGATCATTATCTATATAGATATATATTAATAACAATCTCTTCTATTAAGTTATATCGATTGTAATAATAATTGATATATATCCAGTTAATTTCAAAACAATAATAATTGATTTTGATTAAAATCAATTTATATTAAATTTTATACATAGCTACTAATTTTTTTTTTTTTTTATACCTTCGCAATGTCACAAAAGAGTAGATTTTTATTAGGTATTTTAATAGTACATTCTTGGTTAGCAAGAGTATATATAGCCACATGTGCAACTTTTGGTCGCTTAATTTAAGTAGTCCACCTAAAGGTTCTACATTATATGCTATACCTGTAACCTAACTAGGAGATTACCTATTTAAACCCTCTGACGTTTCTGGTTCTGCACTACTACCACAATCACACCAATCTATAACTTCGTGCTGCAAGACTACCCAGATCGACATCTATTATACTACTTATATTCTAATTCTATAGATAACCCAGTAGGGTTCTCATATTACCAGGTTGCTATAGGGAGGGTGTAGTACATACCCTCTAATCTTTCTATGTCTCATGCACTTTCAGATTGGCTACAAATACCTTTCGCAGCAGCCAAAACCATCACTAGCAGTCAGGGTGAACCATTAAACTGCACAATTTCATTATCTAGTGTCTTTGCAAGGTTCATTCCGATCCCGATACTTACATCAAGCCGGTCCTTATACCAATCCCTCTCCAACTACCAAACTAGTTAGCCAGATGAGTCATTATATCTAAACTTTAAGTGCTTTTTGGTTTTACTTCCCTTGGTTCCTAATTCCATAGTATAGGACCTTTTTCTCTAGTGTGACTCTGGCGGTCAAGTTAGTAGACCCTTCTTGCTTTAGTATTTTTGTCTGGTTCTTCGGTCTACGGTTTCTAACTTTTCTGC